TCCGCAAAATGCGAGACGGGAAAAGCGCATCGACTCTCCTCTGAAGTAATGTGTCGTAATGGCTATGGAGCGTTGACATGCGCTAGAGGCAATAGGAAAGGTGTACTTCGTACAAAAGCAGCCCAAAGCGATCCAGGGACCCCTTTTTTGGTCGATCTTGGCAACTGGTTTGGACCAGGGCAAGGAAAGGGACTGAAGAATAATGGTGTGTGATAGCCCCGGAGGCACAGACAAGCGGCGGCCGCCTGCTGGTGGCTCATCTGAAACAAGGCAGAGATTGTTGGAGAACTAGTCTTGGTTGAGAGAGGAGCTAGCGGGCGCGAAGTGTGGCAGAAAAGCTTGTGCGGCAGAGGCACAAAGAACGCCTCAGCTGCTTAGCACCTCGCTGATGCTAATAATAAGTACGACAGAGGTGTGAGAGTGTGAGAGGCAGGCTGGTGCCGGGTACAGTGTGGCTGGGTCTGGATCCAACCAGACCTAGCCAAAGACGGCGGGAACAAGCGACGGGGGACGCGAGAATGGACAAGGCGAAAGCGACGGTGCGAAACAAAGCTCGTGATGGAAGTCGATGTTTGTGAAAGGAGGCAAAAGAAGGGAGGGACCTTGTCACGAGAAAAGGAGTTTTGAGCAAGGGCAATAGTTGATGCCTAGCAGAAAAGGAAGCCGCGATTAAGCCTGAAACGGATGACAATTTGCGAAGATGACCCAAAGAGGAAGCGGCAACGGAGAATGGATGTGGTTCAATGCCCTCTTCGCACTTGCCTCCGCGACTCGCATTCGACGTACGGACTGCGCTTTCCTCACGAGCCCTACGAAGGCACCTTACATTCCGATGCCAGGAAGGCGCAAGCCATACCTTCCTTGTCTGTAGGAAGGGCCGTAAGATGCGTCTTACCACCACTTTAAATTGCACTCCTTTCGTCGCCCATTTTACCGAATGGAAAGAGCGCACAGCGGAGATGGGCATTGAACCAAACGGGAAAGAAGCACTTTGTAAAACGACGCAATCCGAGCTTGGAGAAGGAGCATGCAAATATTGCAATGTGGCAGTGGAAGGAGCGAAGCTCCATTCATGAATCCTTTCTCACTGACGGACTACTCCCACGGAAGGAGTGTAGAGAGATCAACGTTGTCAACGCATCCTTCCGCTCTTTCCCCAAAGAGGTTGGTTTTCACGAATGCCTCAAGAGGCCGCACGGGACACACTTTCAGATGGACATTGGGAGAATGTCGCATTATCAAGCACAGGTAGGTTTTGTATTACTCCGCACGACATAGCAAACTGTGCAAATCGGCAAATTCGAGGGCAAGGCCCATGCCACGTCAACCGTTGAGATGCGCGTCGAAAACTGCCAAGAACCGGTAGCGTGAGGCTGAGCCTTGGCTTCGGACAAGCCCCTGGCTGCGCATCTCGCGTTCTCCCTCGATACACGGCAAACCTTGTCCTGCTGTATGAGGAGAAGAGGACGACGTATGAACAGTTGGTTCTAACAGATCGTTTCTCTCGAAGAATATCGTTTCAAAAATGTGTGCCGTCGGGCTGTGGCTGAGGGCGAGGAAGGAGCCAGTCAATATAAGTACTTCCAGGCCAACAACCCACGGGCCCCATTTAAAGCTTTTGAGATGCTAGCTACTCCAGACGGGGATGTCGATTTCTTTCTAGAGGCCTTCGACTGTTTCTATTCCGTACGGGGTGACGCGGAACGTGGAAGCGTTGCGGTTGACCACTCAATTTTGAAAAGTAGGCATCGTGGGAGCCGAGCAGTCCGAGACGCGTTTATATGGACGATGAACAAGATTCCTCCGATACGATGCGTCGCACGCCGGACACTGCAGAGACCCGAAGGGAGGAGAACATCAGAATAAATAGCATCTATTTTATAGCTTCGAAAGGGTCGAGGGAAGAGGTCATTTTGGAAAGTACGCCGTACACTCTGGGAAATTTGGATACGCGCTGGTGACGACATAGTCCGGTAATACTCCCATGTACCGCTTGACAACCGCTGGCGAAACATGGCACTGGAAAGGCGCCTCGTAGATCATCTTGCAAACCCAAGACAGGACTTTGGGTTTCGGGTTTTCGGGGGTCAAGGAACACTTGCCAGCGCTTAATAAACAACGGGGGCCAAGATTCACTTCATCCGTACTGTCTGTTCATGGCGCCTGACATCGGCAACACGGTCATGATTCAAGCGGCCCGCACACAAACAAAATCACGTTTTGTTCTTATTTGACGATGACGCTGCTCAATGCACATCTCCACTTACAACGGCGCACAGAGAACAGACGGTCGGGAAGACGGGCCATGGGAACAAAGGTAACAAAACAAAAGAGCGGCATTATGAAGTTCTGGCCGCACGGCACGCTCTTTTACTGTCAATGACGCATTGGCACCCGTGGTACTCCATACACGCGTACGGAGTATTCTGTACGGAGTGTTATTGCATACGGAGTATGTCGTACTTCGTACAGGGTAGTTGTGAGGGTAGTCGAGGTGACAACATACCATTTCGTTTTTGAATTAGGCAGCGCAGAGCAACAAACAGAAACCAAGATGGCACATAACTGCGATGTAGAAATAGGATGTGTCTGTGCAGACCAGACAAAGCAGGCTATGTCGTCAGCTCGTGTGTAAGCTCGGCTTACGATTGACCAGTGAGAATGACCAGACGAAAAGTCTGAATAGAGGGAAACGAATATTATGGAGATATGGCAGTTTCGCGATTATCAACGTCAAGATCGTATATCGCTCCGTTTCGGCAACCGCTTCTGTCAAGACGGACGTGAATAAAGCGCGGGACAACTATCGGTGACCGCACCACAGTTTCGGGTTAGGAACCAAAAGCATCAGGAAGTGATCCGGAGGAGGAGGCAGGTCACAGACTGAACACACTCCGTTACAGACGCACACAAAGCCAGACATGGAAGAACATAAATCACACCTCTTGTTACACCGGATCTCCCCAGACAACGAAGCCAGACGCACCCCGGCGCTGCTACCGTCTCAGTCGCTTGTCTTGTCTCTTCTTACGCGTTCTTTCTACCGTGTGTGACGTTGTGCTGCAAGACACGCATCGTGGCTTGCTGTGTACCGTCCCAACGATCTGTATGACGTGACTCCGCAAACAAGGAGACCCTAAATCGATGATGCTCCCCCTCCATTTGTGGTACCGTCGCGGTAGGTTTTTCTCGTCGTTTACTGCGTCTGGACGACCTGTGATTCAAAGGGAAAGTCGGTTCGTGTGTTGTGTGTCTTATGGTCTGGATTCCTGTGCCAGTCAAACATTGAGATATGCTTGTGTAGAGATGAGGAAGGGCAAGTGAATAAAAGCTTAAAATAAAAGTCGAGAAATAAGCAAAAGATAGACATGCGCGCACTCCGTATGATAAACAATAATAAAAGAACGCTGACAAGTTTCAACCGCGCCGGAACCAAAATGGTGATCGACGGGAAATAACGTCGTATTTCGTTGCTTCCCGCTACGTGATCTTTCGTGAGACAAGCCTTCGTGCCAGAAACATAGTCCAACATATGGGCATGTTGCACCACGTCCAGCAGTTTTAAAATATCAGGCCTTGTTGTTGACAACGTAGCGCCCTGCGTTGTGTATGACACCACATAAGGATTCAGTGACAGCCATGGAGGACGAGCTGAGCAAGGCCAGACTCAGTCCTTCACATCATATCAACTTAGTCGCTAGAAGTCCAGGACGAGATAAGAAAACCTTGAACTGATAGAACAAAAACGAGGTGTGATGCCTCCGTGCTGTGTTGTGGACTGGCCAACCATTCCGTGTACCTGTGTTCTCCTGAAACATCAACAACAACCAAAAAAAAAAAAAAAAAAAAAAAAAAAAAAAAAAAAAAAGGTAACCTACAGCGATCCACCACAGCTTGGTAGTGTCAGGTTACATGTCGCATAATTATCGTATCTGTGCCACTGCTCGTAAACTGCGCGTATAAATTGTGCAGACACAGATGGCCTTCGGTGGATTTCGCCACCGATGTTTTATTGCAATTTTAACTAGGGGACAGCTGGTAAAAGTAGCATGCCAGTCATGGAGCTATTTGGCATCAACGTGGGAAAAATGCAAAATAAAAACAACAGAGCGGGCGCTACCCAAGCTACATTCCACGGTGCCGCCTCTGACAATCTTTCTCTCCGCGGGGAGCCCAAACACGACGCTTCTCAAAGCATTGCTTCAAACCGTGAGTGTCTGTTTCGGAGTTTTCTGAATGCGGTTGGATCACGCGACGGAAAGTCTTGGCACGGAGGCTGGGTCGGTGAAAAGCAACTGTCCGAAAGGCCCAAGAACGCAATGTCACATTCACCTCTCGCAGGTTGGTTGTCAAAAGTGAGAGCTCGTGTTCAGCCAATTTCGACTATGTGCTCAGAGTGTCCCGCATGATTACACTCGTCAGTGCAGGTCTAAATTATCTCGGCGTGTTGTGTTATCGAAAGTTGGGAAATGCTCTTGCTATTGATGATATATTTGGACTCTTAAGGCGGCCGTAGAATTTATATCAGCTTTTGTCAGATTACAAGGTACGTAGTTGTGCATCCTCCCATTGCACACGTGACAATAAGGCTGCCTTTTGTCGATTGCACGCTTTCCACTCCGTCGTAAAGAATGTGTTGGATGATTTTGCTTCCCCTGTGGAACAAAAATATGTTCCCAGTCCCAAAACAAAACGCCGATTTCCTGGTATCTTGGGGAAAATGCAAAGCAGGAAAATAATAAAAGAGATAAGTATGGACAAAATAAGCCAAAAATGGTCGCGGGCAAAGTGTAACAGCCGTAGATGTAGATGTGGTGTGGCAAAGCAGAGCAAGAGCGTCTGCGTAGCTGCGGATAAAAATTCGTGTACGTCGTAAGGAAGAAAAAGTCTAGTAAATAGAACAACTTAGGAATCCAGTTGTCGACAAATATGTTGGTTGAAAGGGGGCCGCCGCTAATCCCATGGAAACAAAAACGAAACAAGTGTGGACAGTGTTTGAATCATGGCTCCACGTCAGGATCCGGGTTGGTCGCTCTCAGCACCCGGCCAGGTTGGTGGACTCTGCGAGAGTAATCGTGGTCGTCCCGCAGAGAATTGACGCTGTCACGGCTCTTGTTGTCGGTGCGAGCATAGATGCCGCTGTAAGCCGGGTCGATACGCGGGTCGATGGGCATCAGAGTGCTCCGGCGGCGGCCAGACTGGTCACTCTCCCACTGGCCCTCACCCACCTTCCGCGCGAAGGCAGGTGCGGACGACACCTCGCTAACCTTGGGGCTGTTTGAGGTGTTGGGAGACGTGCCGCGAGGTGACGGTGTCTTGGTCTTGTTGCCAACGAAAAGAGCGTCTTCGGGCTCCTTCTGCTGACGTTTGCGGCGCCAGACAAGGAATGCCATCACGCCGGCAAGTACGGCAATAGCAACAACACCTACGGCGATGCCGGCGGCAGCACCGGCGCTGAGGCCCTTGCTACTAGAAGAGACGGATGCGTTGTCACCGGAGCCGGACGACGGCGTCACGGTGACGGTCTGGACAACACCGCCCGTTGTAACAGTCTGCACGGTAGGGGTACCAGCGCTTGTTTTCTACAAGAAACATGTCAGTAAACGTCTCCTTCCACCAGACGCATATTGCATGCGATATGTATATGCACCAAATCCCTTCATTTGGCCTCAATAGCTGCTGTCATGCATCAAAGTCACGGTCACACATGCAAGTGCCATTTGCCGTGCCAGTCATATCTGCGCCTCTTTCGATCAATCTTGCAGTCGGCATTTTTGCTGCGTTCCTCGCTAAAACAATGGAGAGGAAAGAAAAACGCATCCGGCAAAGAGTAAACAAAAGGGAGGTAATTCCGTACAGTATTTGATGTTGAAGATGATCCTCTTGTTGATGATGATGCGGTCGAGGTCTTTGATGTGGCTGGTGTCTGGTTGTCATGAATAATAGTTCAGTCGACGTGTTCCATTCCAGTATTGCAAAACAGAGTCCAGTCCGTCCCGAAACCGGTCTAGAAGCTTCGTATAAAACGACGCCGCTTTGCAAATGTACAATATATAAGGTACTTGGTGCTGGAGTGTTGAAAAGTTGAACGCTGAGAAAACGCTGAAGTGTTGCAGTGTTGAAAAGGAGACGATATACTTATAGCAGCGGCAATGGCAGTCAAGCAAGAATGGATATGGGAGTCAAGGCATGGGCACAGAGGCGAACAGGAGTCAAGAAAGCAGGCATTGGTGGAACATCAGGTGACAGCATAGCATGGGTGCACAGTGTTCGCCGTTGTCAAGAAGAGGCCAAGCGGAGACGATTCTTCTCATCGCAAACGCAAAACGTGTATTTCAGTCTGTTCAATGATTGTAACTTACCGACGAAGAAGTGGGAGCAGCAGAGCTGCCGCTGCTGGCTCCAGCAGTGCCAGAGGGCGCCTTGTTCAGGGCCATATAGCCGTAGAGGTTGTCGCCGCCGCAGACATCGGAAGGCCAGCCGGAACAAGTCTGGTCGCATTCAGAGACAGAGACCTGCGAGCTCTTGGTTGGGGTGTAGTCGGAACACCAACAGTCATTGCCCTGAACAACGGCAAAGGCGTACTGAGCGACACAGAAGTTGTAGCAGAGGCCATCGGACTGGTATATGCTGGTGTCTAAAAAGAAAGAGGCAAGTTAGTAAAAAATGTCGCGTATGTTGGGAGAGGCTGGGATAACCCAACGCTGCTCCAAAGACTTTCGGCCTTGGAAAAGACGTACTTGTAGGTGTTGTGCCTGTGTTGACTTTGGCGCAGTATGCCATTGGGACCGAAGGAGTGGCATAGCTTCTTGCGAGCAGTGTCGAGGTAAACAGCAGCCCATAAAGGCGAGACTGGTATGAGGGAGCCATTGTGTCGTTGGACGAAGGAGGTGCAAAAGACGGGATGTCAACGCAAGATGCTATGCTAAGAGTTAGAAAATCGGTCCCCCAACCTGCATGCGCCAAAATGAACATGACCGCTTAAGAATGGGGACGGTAGAAACGTACCGGAAGACAACCAGTTGGAGTTGTGAGATGTGTGGCCAAGTAAAGCTTTTTTAAAACGAGTGACGATGCCTGTTTTTAACGATCACGAATCGTATGAGAGAAACCGCTAGATGTGAGAACTGCAATTCACTACTGCCATTGCAAAGCCGAAATAGGTCGTAAACGGGAGACAATCGTTGCCGGGTCTTCGAACAGGTCCTCCGATTTCTTTTCCTATTCCGTCCAATGCTTGTCGTCGAAAAGCAGGAAATAGCCACACGCGAGTGTCGTTCGTGAAGTCGGTCGTTAGGTTCGCTGTCGTCAATGCGGGAGGTGAGGGGAGGCGAGGCGATCAAAGAGGAGCAAGGAGGGGAAAAGGCAGCACACGAGAGAATAATGATGGGGTTGCAAGTTCCGTTTGACGTTGTGGCTTCCGAGGGAACCCTCGAGACTTTAGATTCAGAATTAGGCGGTCCAGAGTCGCTTGGAATGCTGGTGTTGGGGGCTAGCCGTCCTCGGAAGCGATAAACAAAGGCAAGTGAATGCTTTCTTTATCTCGGTGGGCGCGCGGCCAGAGATGCAGACTGAAGAATGCAGGACGAAGCAAAAGAAAGGAAAACGAAGGCGAAAGCGAGATGAGTCGTTCGTTGGGTTGTGCTGAGCGCGGAGAGGCCGGTAAATACAAACTGAGGTCGAGCCGAGGAGGATGAGATAGGAGACGAAGATGCCCAGGTGAAACAAAGCGAGTCCAAAAACGAGGAGTAGAAAAAAGAAGAAAAAAAAAAAGAAAATTGAATATCGAGAAATCGAGGAATCGAGCAATCGAGATTGTGTTATTCCGACGTCCAGAAGCAAGAAGAAATGGACATAAAAAAAAGAGGCTCGAGGATGAATAGAGGTGGGAACGAAGGGGAGAGAAGACTGGGGAGAGATAGGGGGGCAGCTGGGAGTGTTTATGAAAGGACGAGGCGGGCAAAAAAGGACGCAGAGCGAGGAAATCCACCAGAGGGAGGGTTTCCAAGGAATATGGAAAAAGAACGACGGTCTACTTCGTAGGTAAAAGTGGGCAGGGTTGGGACAGGGGTGGAGGGAAAGAGGGAAAGAGGGTGGTGGTGACAGAACGGCAACCAGTGAGTGAGTAAGAAATGGAAGGAACGAATACGGGGTACAAAAGCAGTAAGTGGAGAGAGCACACGTCAGGTCCTCGTAATACAGAGGGATTGGTGGCTCGAACGGAAGCGACGATAAACAATCCGTGCAGAACTGTAAGATACCAAAATAAATTGTGAGGCAATTCGTGAGAGAGAATAGAAACCTCAAGTGCACGGGAAAGTGCGATGGAAGCGAAAAGGAGCAACCGCCGAGCATAAGCAGGAGCAGACATGAGGCAACAAATCAGGAATGTAAACCGGGAGGCTTCCAGCGCCTCTTGCGGACTGGCAACGAAAGCGTGATCCAGTGTCGGTAAGCTGGACATGCCAGCCAGTCTCTCTTTCCTTTTTCTGACCGATTTTACAGACGTTCTCGTGCCCAGTTCCTTCCTTTGTTAGTCCATGAGCGAACGAAGGCATGTGCGCAGGAAAGAATCACGAAACAAAGGCAAGAGCACAGGAGCACAGGTGCAGCGGGCAGGAACAAAAGACCGACGCACAAAGGCGCACTGAGAGTGCCCCGTGGCAAGCAGCCGCCGAGGCACGTATGTTTCTATTTGTCTCTCTCGCTCACACAGTCACTGGCGATGATCTGAAATTGGAAAACGGAATGACAAAGAACACACTTGGGACGGAAACACTCCCTAAGAGAAACAATTTGCAGGCACCTGCCACGAACCGTGGGAAGCGGAGCAGGGGCCGCCCAGAAGCAGAGCCAAAACGGAAACAACCTTTTCCCCGTTCACAACGGAAGGCACGAATGGCCTCCACCCACACCATAGGTGCACCAAGCCAAACCAGCGCGCAGACACGAACCCACACCAGCCCACACACACTTTCCGGCCGCCTCCAAACGCGCGCAGTCAAGCTCAAGCTTGCTCAGCTCACAGTTCTCCTTTTCCTCGCAGAAGCGCAAACGGGAAACGGGACAGCGAGTTATTCAGTGGCTCGGCCAACTCAGACCGGGGCCAAGTCAGCTAATACAAAGGCCCGAACGGACAAGGGGAGAACCCTAACCAGGAAAAGCTACAAAAAAAAACCGTGAGGAAACTGGGCCCAGAAAACAGGAGTCGACGACCTGTCCCACCCAGCACGGCCTTTGTATCGTACAGGTGAGTGAAGGGAAATCGAGAAGGGAAATCGAATGCGCGCCACGCCCGCCAGGTGTCCTCGCCGAAATGGCAGGGATCCTGCAGGGTGGTCTCGATCGTGAGGGCAGAGCGCTAATCAGAAGTAGATTCGAAGAACGGAGCAGGGTACATCCGTTTCGGCGGCTGTCCTCGTAGGGCGAGGCACTTCGGACTGTTCTCACAAGATTCGGCGGCAAAGGAGATTCGGCACGCCAGCGTTCTCGCGATTCTGCAATCTGCTGGGCAGTTGCTGGATGTCGTTCCAGACCAGGCTTGCAGATAAATTTGGCAACGCAGCGCCGCAGTGCTGCTGCAGAGGCCGCTGCAGACACGTTTGGGGGCCCAATTGTCTGGCGAGAAGAAACGCTACGACGCCTCAACGCATGCCCTCTGACTTTCTAGGCCTCCGTTTTGGCCTCCATTGCAAAAACACGATTACTTTGTTGCATGTCGTCACACGTCTCGATCGTGCATCCTGAAGTTAGTGCTGTGGGCACTGGCCGATCTCTTTTTCTGCGGCAAGGGAGAGTCAACCACCTCCACTGAAGATAGCCTGCAAGAGTTTAACCCCAGATCGAAAAGGACTGGTTTGCAGGCGCCGTCGTCTCGACATTCCTGCCCAGCGTCCTTGAACTCCTGGCTTAGCTTAGTTGCATGCACGTCGCTGCTGCCAGCGCATATTCATTATTCAATAGTGCATAGGCAGGGGTCGTTACTGTCTCCTCACGGCCTGACTCGGTGTGGACGGCCCAAAAGGTTTGGGCCGGCCGGCCTGGTCTGGGTCGGACATTGGTTGTATGCTGTCATTGTGGCATGCTGCCATGGGACAGGACGGCACGCAATTCAGCTGGTTTTTATATCGTCAGGGAGTGGGAGAGGCGATGGAGGAGGACATTGACCATGCGATAAAAGAGGCGCGTGGGGAAAGGGGTTTGAAATTATGCAAGATGTTTATTCCCACAGAAGAAGAGTAGCTGTCGATTTTAAATTTGTGGATTGGCAACGATAGAGGCAACATCCCAGTTGGTTCGTCTTCTCTGAATGTCATCTTTTTTTTATATATACAAGAAAGGATCAATATCTTCGGCTATTTGTACGTACCACTCCAATGTCGTACGACACGCCGAGAAAAACCACATCGTCTGCAAATGGCCGTTTCGGCGTTTGCGTCCGCCGTTTCGGAGGCCGTTTGCAGTCATGTTGTTCGCTTGTTGATAGACCGTCCCCTGATTCCCACTTGTATTCTCCACGCCAAGCCGATGAAAGTACGATGGAAGTACAATGTGGGGGCGAGGACGAAGAGAAACCAGAGCAAGAGGATAATAAGAGAGCAAAACTACAAAATCCCAGATTGGGAATTCGTAGTCACCTAATCAATCGACGCCATGTCCAGCATCCTAAATACAGTACGGCAACGCCGTACAATATGCAATACATTATGCAATACAATATGCAATATAGACTGGCGACAAGGCAAAACAGGGCTTTTGTTCTGCTTTCGAGGGGGATGAAGTCCAAAGCAGGATTCAGACATCCTATCGGCAGGCAGTTTTGCTGGTCCCGGGCGAGCATTCACATGCATAAACAGGTGTATGTACAGAGTACGGAAGTATTACGACATACGTTGCAAGCAAGGTTATCTCGGCGACAGCACACCTCGACGCGACGCCATGGCAAGTCGATGTCGTCGACATGCAGGATTTAGATAAGGCCAATAAAGCCTTGTCCCGCTCGAGCGTGGCCAACTGTACCACCGACTGGCACCCCTGCATGTCGGGTCCTTCGACTTTGAGTGCCCATTGCCTCGCTCCAAGAATATTGCAGCCCGCACGCCGTACTCATTGACCGGAAAATCGACGTCCATTGCCAGTCGTTGTTTTCTTTGATTCGTTTGTCGTTGCATTGGTAAGTCGACCCTTTGTTTCTTTGTTCGAAACCGGCGTCCGTCACTCACACCCTCACACCATGCTTGGCGGCGATCAAGGAACCAGGTAAACCCCCATTTGAGCGTAGCGGCCGTCGATTACTACGATCATATGGATGTCCAACGTACGGAGCATTTCGTGCGAATGTACAACATACTCTCTGATCCGTTCGTCTGTTTGTACTCGGACGTACAATTTACACCGTACTCCGTACGTCTCTCCCTCTCAGGTTCCAGCCTCTCGCTTTCGAGTTGCTACCTGACGCGGGGAGCAGCGAATGTGGAAACACGGCAGCGAACGAAGGCTTACGATTAGAATGAGGAAGGGTGCTGGGGTGATCTGTGCGGCCTGGGCCTGGTCCAAATTGACGGTCGTGACAGAATACGGACAATGGAGAACTGGGAACGGACAACGAATGAAATCTCACTTGTTGCCCAGTGGCGAGCGGCCACGGCCTTATTTGTGTTGTATTTGTGGCGCAAGACAACAATCCTCCTTTCCCACCAAGATTCGCAAAAGAAAGACATTCTGAATACCTGTATATGTTGTATTTCGTACCCCGTAATTACTCTGATGCATCATCACAGTCGCAGTGGCGTTTTGGGGGATGTTTTTCCACAGACCTAATTTGCGCATGACTTTCCTGCAATCACTTCCGAGCACTGGAGAAAAGTACC